CTGAACACTATAGAGATGAGTCGTGCTGCCAGACTGGATGGGAACCATGTCTTGCACAGGGAGCTGTCTCGCTCTGCTAGGGCCTCTTTGAGAGTGGACCAAGAGAGGTACGTTAGGGGCATCGTGGAAGAGTTGGAAGGTCATTTTGCCCAAAATGACCTTCGACCTGCTTTCTGAGCCCTGAGGGAACTCCAATCAAAGTCCATCTCTCAATTGGGCTCAGTGAGAGCAGAGGATGGTTGCATTGTGTCAGAGCCTGGTGAGTATAGGGCCTGCTGGGCTGAGTACTTTGAGCAACTGTATAGGGTAGATCCCCCGTCTTCACAACTCCCGTTGGCTGGCACACAGCCACTAGTGGCTGATCCACCAATCAGTGAGGCACCACCTTCCATCGAAGAGGTGAGAAGGGCAGTGTCTAAGCTGAAAAGTGGAAAGGCTGCTGGTGTCTGTGGGATTGCTGCAGAGTTGTTGAAGGCGGGTGGAGAAGCCATGATCTGTGGTTTGCATGCAGTCCTGTCTGCCGTTTGGGAGACTGGTACCATTCCCCCTGACTGGAAAAGGGGCTTGGTCATCCCTATCTGGAAAGGGAAAGGGGACCAAAAGGACTGTGGCAACTACAGAGGTATTACATTGCTCAGCGTACCAGGCAAGGTCCTCGCTCATCTGCTTCTGGCACGAGTGCGCGACCACCTATTACGAGCACAGAGACCTGAGCAGTCTGGTTTTACACTCAAGAAGTCAACTATAGACCGTGTCTTAGCACTTCGTGTCCTTGTGGAACGCCGACTTGAGTTTCAACAGGGTATGCTTGCAGCTTATGTTGATCTCAAGAAGGCTTTCGACTTTGGAGCCTACTGGGTCTCCGTGGGATCCCCCCTGGAATTATTGGTTTGCTGTCTGGCCTGTATACAGATACTGAGAGTGCTGTCAAGTGTGGGGAGGGCATCTCTGCCTTCTTCCCGGTGTCTGCCGGGGTGAGACAGGGATGTGTTCTGGCCCCAACCCTTTCCAACACTTGTATGGACTGGATACTTGGCCGTACCGTGAACCGTAGTTCCTGTGGGGCATCAATTGGTAATTTCAAGGTCACAGACCTTGACTTTGCTGATGATGCAGTGATTCTAGCGGAGACATTAGAGGTCCTGGAAGTAGCTCTCGAGGCGCTGCATGAGGAGGCAAAGCCATTGGGACTCGCGGTCAACTGGACCAAGACCAAGGTTCAGGAATTTGGGGACTTTTTGGATGTCGATGCTCAGTCTGTGCATGCCTGTGGCGAGAACATTGAGGTCTTGGATAGCTTCACTTATCTTGGTAGGGTAGTGCAGAGCGACGGAGGTTCCGACCGGGAAGTCACTCGACGACTCGGACTGGCCTACGGCGTTATGGACTCACTCATTAGGAGTATTTGGCGCTGTCGGTATTTGACTAGGAGAACTAAGATCAGGCTCTTCAGAGCACTGGTGATCCCGGTCTTGCTCTACAGGTGTGAGACCTGGACACTGAACAGTGCTCTGAAAGCCCGTCTTAACTCCTTCGGTACTAAGTGTCTTCGCAGAATCATGGGCTATACCTGGAGGGACCATGTGTCCAATCAGAGGATACTCCATGAAACTGATTCAAGACCTATTACCAGTCTGATACGAGAGCGCCAACTTCAGCTCTATGGACATGTGGCTCGTTTCCCTGAGGAAGATCCGGCTCATAGGGTCATCTCCGAGAGGGTTGACCCAGGCTGGAGAAGAAGGGGAAGAGGAAGGCCACGGAACTCATGGCTGAAGCAAGTCGATCAGATCTGCCAAGATGTACTGGGAGTGGGAAGGAATGCTGCATGGAGGCTCACTCGGAGGGACCCCAGGAGATGGAGGCAAAGGTTGGGCGCGGCAAAGCGCAGCCATGCGTATGCCCCCTTATGATGATGATGATGCATTTGCGGGTATGACGTCATGGCTTTGGCCCCGCCCCTCCAATCGTCGTCTAATCCCTTCATCTTTAGTGCCCTTGGATCAGATTGTCGATAATTGAGGTATTTCTTTACATAGGATCGTTTTTGATATTTTAGGGAATAGAGGTAATAGACAATCCTTGATCACATCGTAAGAGATAATTTTATCAAAGGTTTTGGGTTCTTTTCACTTAACCACAATAAGTACACTCTTAATATATTTCAATCATAACTTCAAGTCCGCAGTCCCAAGTAATATAAATTAACAATCATTCAATTACACATTTCTTAAATAGTAACCACTATGTGAATTAAATGTATGATATCTCAGAATTTGTTCTTGTACCTACAAATATGCATAAGATTAAAAAAAAAAAAAAAAAAAAAAAAAAAAAAAAAAAAAAAAAAGCGTTTTATATTTATAGCCTTTTGAATGAACAAATTCTGGACCCAAAACGTCGTCTGCTACAGCTTTTAACTCAAATATTACCAGTAGCGCCACCAACCCGGGAATGACGTCATGAGTTCATTTTCTTTGTCATCGCCGTGAATGCATGGATGAGAACCTTTTGTGTGATATTTTCGTGTGATATTTTGTATGCAAAAGTCCTATTGTCCACCAAATATGGATAGAGATCCATGTTATTAATAATGTATCTGTAAAAACACACTCACTCATTGGTTTCTCCTTCAAATCTGTGTTTATGTTGCACTTTGAAATGATCATAAACATTCTGTAGAACCCAGACATCCAGACAGTTAGACATGAAACCTGGATGCTGTGTAATGCACTTAATGTTTCCCCCAAAATTGTTATACTCATCAATTTTTTCCTGTATTGGCATCTTTTCTGTGCAACACATCTTTTCCTCTGGAGTTTCACCTAACTCATATCTGTCACACTTGCACCTGTAAAAATCAAAACCACAGTTAAGACGTATTTTAACATAGGAATTTACTAACAGTTAGGGCCAGGCCAGCCAGATCACAGGCCTATTGGACTAGGCCCCATTTTCTTCGATACGATCGGCTTCGAAAACCTGCCAATCACCTCCACTAACCCCAGCTGTATTAATTAAATCATGTTCATGGCCATAGCTTGCATGGCATGATGACATTTTATAGGAGCAGGACCCTGACACACTGATATTTAATTAATATGGCCAGTCACACTGGAAGCATGCAGTGCACCCTGCATGCCCTGTACATAGACTGGACATTTTGTTTACAGTGTAGGCTAAACTACATTTCGCATCAAGTCGAGCGATGGCGAGCCTAGACGCCGTATAGACTCATCAATAGTACCTCAGAATACCCTACTAGACTTACGTTAGAGACATGAGAGAAGGGGTGTAAAAAAAACTGAGACCTACCAGTCAGTATTGTCCATTCGCTGTTCCAACCAATAGTTCTCTGGTAGCTGAAATGCCGCCAACTCCAAGAGCTCCTCTTCAGACAAATATTCGGGCTCAAATTGGTGCCAAATTCTTGCCAAACATGCCATACATCTTCACTGTTATCGGAAATGTTTATAGAGTCCAGACTACCGTCAAAAGACGAACTTGAAAAGCTATCTACACTGGATAATGAAGAACACGCCATAGCCATAATAAACAGTACTGACACTAACACAACTCATGACATCATCGCAACTAATTCCAAGAGATGGCGCTGCGAACAGTATTTTAATGTGTAAATTAGCAGACGACGCATATTTCGGTAAAAAGAATGCTTCAAAACTATATTTTTAGACAGAATTTTTTTTTGCAACAAGTTGCTTTTGAAAAAGTAGTATCTCGGCAATGTTGTGCACAAGTTTGGTGGTTACTCTTTAACATAATCGTGAATTCTTTACAGACCACAAGAATCCGTTAATGATATGATGTAAATAATGAAAGTATTGATAATAATAGAGCATTCTGGTGTATTTGTGATACGTCGCCTTTGTGTGTGTGAGAGCACGTGTAAGTTAAAAACCTACCCCCCCGGATATCTATATATCTATCTATCTATCTATCTATATATATACATACATATATATATGAAAAGGAAAAGCCACAGTACTGTGGATGTTTTCCTTTTCATCTTTGAGTACACGTGTTTGTGTCAATTTATATGTTCTCAATGTTCCCAGATCTTCCTTGTAGATTACATTTTTTCATGTCATATTTAGGTTATTTCTATTAATTTACGAACAAAACAAAAAGATCAACATAAAGTGTTATGTGGTTGATGCTGAATTAGAAGACGTGTTAGGAAAAAAGAGTAGGGCAAAAAAGTTATATATTATATGTTCTATATCTATAAAATTCTTACAAATAATAGTGCAACAACCATTAGGCTTGTGATTGATTTTAAAATCCAGTGTGTTCTTGTCACCAGTCCCAACAATCCTCTCTCCCTCTCTTTCTCGCTCTGTGTATACATGTCCCTCTCTGGTCTAGGTGATTAGAATACTGATAAAAATGATGGAAACAATAACAGTGCTGCTTGCGAGGAGATCTCTCTCGGTCCGCTAACAAGTAACAGGCAAACGCAACACTACGAGTCGTCAGCAAGGCCGTTGAGAAGGTCTGGCATGACGTTCGCAAATACAAACAAACACAACTGCCCAGGCATTCCACAGGCCTACCCTGCAGCTTCCTGAACGACAGGACTGCCACAACACGCATGGAAACCCAACCAGGGACTCTCACCCACTATAGTAGCGGAGTAGGAATCCTTTTATCGCCAACCCTTGAAATTCTGTATACAGCCAGTCTGCCAGAACCAACATTATGCAGCAACTGTTTCCCATGCAAACGATATCAAGATCATCACACACTCCTCTAAATCACAACACTTCATGAAACGAACAACAGAAAGAGCTATTCATCAACACCTTTGAAACCCATAGCCAATCACAGTCAACAGAATTGTCATTCCATACACTCACAGAGTAAACAATCTTGGATTCGAGTTCACAAGCACAGGGTTCACAACACACGCCAAACTAAGAACACAAGCACAAGTAACCTGCACATCACAGCCAAAACTCAGACTCTACAAAGGAACTGTCAGACCTATTCTAGAATACACAATTATCCGAGTCTCCGTTTCGCGTATCTGACTTATCTAATCTTATCTTACCCCCCCCCCCCCCGCCCGCCACCGTGCCCGCCGAGTGGTCGTGGGGTCAGCATTATCTATTATAAACGGAAGGACGGAACAGGTTACAAACATGCTACGGACTCTGACTCGATTACCTGTGATTATGGGATTACACTTGTGCAATTACAGATGGCAGACGCGCAAGTAAGAACACCAGCTAGATGGAGGGAGAGAAACAAATAATAGAAAAATAGGGATATTATGTTTTACTATAACAATTTGTTCGTTCCTATGTCATTGCCCTATGTTTACTTTTGTTTACTTTACTGTATAATGTACTTATTATACTGGTATGTTCTTTAGTTACAAGCAAAAGATTGTAGAAGCTTCAAATAATATGGAAGAAGTACCTGACTACTCTGCAACTTTTTTTGTTCATACGCACCATTCTTCGCTTCTCAAAAATGTGGAACTTTTAAATGTATTTCTCAGATTCAGTCAAAATACCTTTTTCTTATTACATACATTATTCTTCGTATGAAAAGTTAAAGTAGCTTAATGATTTACATCTCGTCTTATTTACCGCGAGTGAGCTCCATGTCCAAATCAGAAAACTGGATAATTCCAATGATCACGGACCTTACTTGACTTATTAATTGAATTATATCAACAAATCAAGATACGCAGCCTTTTTAAAATACTTTTGAGCCAGTAAGGTTATGTAAAGGTGCAGAATGATTTTGAAGACATTCATTCCACCGAAGAATCCAAAACAACCACCGAGTTGGCCAACCGGAACCTGAGTAGCGATTTAATTCCGTTTTTTATCGACTGGTCTGTTGCTGCCTCTCCGCATAGTGCCCTTGGGTGACCATTGGCTTCAAGAGGGGGACGTTATCTCTGCGGAGAACACTCGTGAAACACGAGCAAGTGCAATCAGTACCTTTTAACTTTACTTGGATCCTGCAGCGTAGAAGTCGGAGGCGATACCGCTTCTGCCACCAAACCTGAAAGATGATAAACAAATCGGGGCTTCTGTATCTCCAGTTCAGTTAAGGGTACAGTGACCTACCCAACATCACATACAGGTAATGCAATATCCGGAGACTGACATTCAAATACTTAGTTATTGCACCACGAAATTCTTTATCAGACATGCGTAACTAGCTCTATTTATTATTATATTATTTGTGTTATTCTGCTATTATCATTGCAGTTATTCCCTTACCTTGATTATAAGCATGATAGTTATAGTTATATATATATTTTTTAAAATTAAAATAGTACTTATCATAAATTCAACAATGACAAGAGATAACGATAAGAATGCCACAGATAATAGTGGTGATAAATACAGTAAAAATGCAGATGAACTCTTAAGCTCCCTAAGTCTCCCCAAGCAGATTATACCACAAAATAAAGCGTATAAATCGCGATCAGATAAATTGCCGATTACGGTAACAGGATGAAACGGGAGTGAAAAGATCGTAATGGAAAAAAATATATGTTTAAGTTCTGAAGATATTATAATGTTACGATAATATACACTATGTTTTCCATAGGATGAAATTTCATTGGAATATGGAGAAGATTTAACCAGGCTGTATAAAGGTTGTATGCCTATAGTTCGTTCTATCCATTTTAGATTGTGGCACATATGTCTGCAATTATCAGTTCGACTGTTTATTACTTGCGTGCTCCCCTAGCAGTTGATATTCAGTTTAATCAATAAAATTTGTTACCATAACCCTAACTCTGAATTTAAGATAAAGATTATTAACTTAAACTGCTGATTTTCTTTATATTTTTTCAGTCTTTATCAAATGTTAGTTGTCATAATAGTTATAAAATATAAGGCTATATCTAATTTCCTCTAATACCAATATTTTTGTGTGAGGCTGTGTCATCAGTAATAGGATTATATAGTTATTATTGCTAATTATCTGTGAGAAGCAGTGAAAGATTTTGTAAAAATCGTTTATTCGCATTACACTCAAAAGTACAACAACTGTTGTTACTACTGCAGTTTAAGTATGCCCATTATCATTATAATTTTTAATCTTATAATTGCTATAATATTTTTTGCCGTCTCCTTCCCTTCCCACCCTCTCTGTCGCGTCTTTCTCTCACTCTATTTCTATAATTTTCCTCCCTTTCTCTCTCTGTCGTTCTCTCCCTCCCTCTCTTAAATAGAAAGAGAGAAAAAAAAATAGGGAAAGAGAGGGGAGGAAGGAAGGAAGGGTTTATATGAAGTGAACGAGGAAAATGGTATTAAATGGAACACAAGAAAGAGGGAAGAGAATGTTACAGTTGTAAATCTCATGTACGGGGAAAGAATTTTATTTCAATATACCACCAATGGTCACGTGTTCTATGTTTACTGCATGTACAAATTATCAGTAAATTACGACGTGCTATCTGTTATGATGCAGCCCGCCTAGCAGGGAGACGCACACGCGACTTTCATTTATAGGACACGTGTGTGTGTGTATATATATATATATATATATATATATATATATATATATATATATATATATATATATATATATACACGTATGTATGTATGCATGTACACACACAAACACACACACACACACACACACACGTGTGTGTGTGTGTGTATACATACACATACATATGTGAGTGGTATACCGCCTCTCTTATGCGATTCTTGCAGTTTTTATTCCAATGTTTAATACTTTTAGATTACAATAGTGCAACGTATAAATTCCCCTGGGGTAATACGGGAACGAACGTAGCGTGGCAAGACAGTGGTAGGTGGGTGGTAGTGAGCGGTAATACCTTGCCGGCTCGTTCATAAAACCCGTAGTCCAAAGTATTTAGTAACTTAAAGATGGAATGAAAGCCTGGCCATAAAGTGAAGGGAAAATGCAAATAAAAACAAAGCTAAAGCAATAAAACACGTAAGTAAAATCATGTGAAACATCAGCGAGGATATAAAAGGTAAACGAAATTACTAAGAATGCGAATTAAAAGACTAAGTAGGCCGGCTAAAACTGTTTGTGTGGACAACTAATTACTGGCAGAGACACTTGCAAAATATGCATTTGATTCATGAAGCGTTTAAGAACAGGCAAACGGCGTAAAATAGATATATGGATAAGAATGAGCAGCCAACTACTTATCTTCTAAGTATGAAACTGTGACGGTTGTGGTATGTCACTGTAGAGTTCCTTGGGGGGAAAAAGAAACACGTCGGTGTTTTTTTGTTTTTTTTAGGGGAATTTCTTGGCTATCAACCAGCGGCATGTGACCAAGGTTATTAAGCCAATGGATCCTGTTTATTCCATCAATCTATCTAGTTTTGTCTCCCTTAAAAAAGCAATTACCTTATTTATTATTTTTTCATCGTTTGATAGAAGATTTGATATTGGTAAATCTTTATTTTTTAATCTGAAATAATTTGTTATATTGTTTCTTTGGTTATTATAATTTTGACATGCTATTAGAATATGGTTTATGTTCAGGGTGGAATTGCATGTCTGGCATTGTGGAGGGTATTTCTTTTCTATGTAGGGAGTGAGGTGGGTAATTCTTGCGGCGTTGACCCTAAGGCGGGCCAACACCACCTCCTCCCTTCTTTCCTTACCGTGGGATGTGTCCCACAGTTCTATGGTGTTCTTGATTTTGTTTGTGAGTTGGAGATTGGTCCACTCACTTCGCCACAGGAGATGTATTTTTGCTTTTATAAGAGACACACACACCTGTCAGCCTGTTCATTGCCATGGATACCAGAGTGGCCTGGCACCCATATTAGCTTGATTGATTTGTTGGTACCATGTAACTTACGAATGATATTACCCAGCAATTCATTTTTTGTGGTTTCTAAGGATTTAATAGCTTTAAGTGAACTTAATGAATCTGAAAAAAATAACTATTCTATCGTGGGTCGTCGAAAGAGCAAAATCTAGCTTTGTCAATAGCAAAAAGTTCAGCAAGGAAGATCGATGCATGATTCGGCAGTCTGAACTTTAGTTCACATTCAGTCGACCATACACCCACACCCACACAATCATCTGTCTTGGAGCCGTCGGTATATATATGAAAAAAGTTTAGATGTTTAATAAGGATCTCTCTGAACCTCTGGCGTACCTCCACCTCCGGCGCCATGGCCTTGGCTGATGGAAGCCAGGCTGCCATGATAGAAAAATTGGGGGTTTCCCCTGGCGCTATATTTGACTGAACCAGGGTATCGATGGTAGAGAGATCTATACCGACTTTCTCGACGAGGTCGTGGAGTCTCATGGCAAAGGGCCTAGTGCCTCCATTGCCATTAGGGTGGCTCGGGTCTCGAGCCACCTTAGCTCAGGGCTAACTGGCCGCGTTTGAGTCGGAGGGGAGGTACTCCTGACTCCACCTCAAGACGCTCGATCTGTGTGCATTTTAGGGCTCCAACACACACACGCAAACATGCATTCTGCACAGCATCCAAACCTTTCAAGCTTGTTCTCGATGCCGAACCATACACGATTGACACATAATCTACTTTAGAACTAATCAGGGCTTTATATATCATTAGGAAAGACTGTCTATCAGCTCGCTATTTATTACCAGAAATGCACTTTAATAAATTTAGTGCTTTTTTGACATTTATTCTTTAACTGACCAATGTGGTCTTTCCAATTGAGTCTACTATCAAAAAGTAGACCTAAAAAATTAGCAGAATTTTGAATAGGTATTGGGTGGTTGTCTAGAGTTAGCCAGATGTTCGGCTTTCTCCTATGTGAAAAAAATACCCCAATACTCTTTCTAATGGAAAACTTAAAACCCCACTGGAGATTCCAGTTATGAATCATATCCAGTGCCAATTGGATGCGATTTGCTGAGAATTCTGCATTATTGCTGGAATGCCATAACGCACAATCATCAGCGTACAGTGAGTATTTAAGATTCCGAGGAGGAGCTGGTAAGATGTCATTTATCATACATAGAAATAATGTTGGT